CCCCCACCGCCACTTCCTCCTCCCCCTCCCTCACGCTCGCGCGCCGAGAGGACAGAGAGTGCTGGGTGAAATACACTTTCCTTCCTTAACAAATAAATATACTCGCCTTAAATGCTCATCTGTTTTCTTGACTTCAGGGCTTGTGGCCTTGTGGTCATAGCCCAAGAGCATATGGCTACCCTTAAACTGTTTCCTTTGGTGAGAGGTTATAATGCACTGTTATACATGCTGCCTGCTCTTGATTTTAGGTCATCCTTAATTTCTCTTTTAGAGGTTGTATACCTTTAAATGCACAGTGGAGGCCAATTTTTTTTTTTCTTTTTTGCATTTTCAGAATTAGCAGTAACTTATTTGTATTTCAACTAACTAGGTACTAGGTAGTTAAATAAATTAAAATGTCTCGTGTTGTCACAAAAAAGTTTTCAAGTTGTCATCTTTGGACTTAACCATAAAAGCTCTAAGTGAAGGAGGTATGCAGAGTTTTCAGGTTTAAGGATTGGAGCAGATATGACAGGTGCAACCCTGTGAGGAAACTGGGTATCCTTTGAGAGCCCCTTTAGCCCTAGGGTCTATAAATATTCACTTTATTTGCAGACACAGGAGCTTTCCTGCTAAGTGATAGCACTTTATTACTGTATGTTCTTCAATAAGAGGGCTAAAAATGTTTGAACTGAAAAAGATAAAGGCAGCTGGCACCTGTTAATTGGCCTTACCAACTTGACTAGTCTCAGCAGAGTTGTGTTATGAGTTGGAATACTTGTGTAATAAGATTGTTGTATTAGATGTATAAGTATATTTTCTGCCTTCATTTTCACACCAGTGGGAGGAAATTCCTATGACTGATAATGTTTTTTTAAAAAAGATGCTAGTCTGCATTGTGCTGGGAGGAGTGTTTTGATAATTCTGTATCTCTTGAGTTTTGCTTTATTTTGCTCATTAAGCTAGAATTTTACCTTAGTTCTTTTATTGCCTTGGGTGGTTCTCTGCTTGTTTGTGGATTTCTTCCTATGCTAAACGGTGTTGACCCCGTTTTTACTTTTCTCTACCTCTTTGAGGTGGAATTCCCATTGAAATGACTGTTCCCCCTCCCCTTTGGTCATGTGTCCAAGATCAAAAAGATTATAGTTTGATATACTGTGAATGAGCAGTGGTGAAATAATTATAAACTGTCATGTCCTTTAGGAATCTTTGTTCTCTCTTAACTGCCTGCTTTCTGAAAAAGATAACTGCTTATTCTACCTTTATTGATTACCAGACAAAGGAACTACTTGTGTATGCTTTTAAGCTCTCTTTTGAGTGAACACATTTTGGCTCTGCATCTTCAATCGGTCACCTAAACTTTACAGTAAGATGTTTTTTGTAAATTGATGTCCTACTGTAGTCATTACGTCATAGCTTCAGTTCTGTAGTGGGAGTAGTTGGATATGGTTTGAAACCATGAGACTACAACCAGGAAGTAAGAGAGGCTAGAGTGAGAACAGAAAACTGAGAGCCTTAGGAGATGTGTCCTTGTGTTGCCTTTTCTGCTTACAGATAGATTGAAAAATTGTTAAGTTCTGGGATTCCTAAAAATCTGTGCTCGGGCTTCCCTGGTGGTGCAGTGGTTGGGAGTCCGCCTGCCGATGCAGGGGACGCGGGTTCGTGCCCCGGTCTGGGAAGATCCCACATGCCGCGGAGCGACTGGGCCCGTGAGCCGTGGCTGCTGGGCCAGTGCGTCCGGAGCCTGTGCTCCGCGGTGGGAGAGGCCAAAGCAGGGAGAGGGAAAAAAAAAAAAAAAAAAAAATCTGTGCTCAATTCATCATTTCTCTTATTGGAAAGAGCTATTAATGGGTCTTTCCATGTGTTATACGTTACCAATGGAGTTAAATATAAACAGTTCTTCCTTATTAGGAGTGTGTGATATAAATTGACCACCATGACTTGAATGAGCAAATGCATTCAATTATATGCTAGAGACATTATGGAAATCCAGAGGTAAGTATGAATCTAGAGAATTCAGTACTGTCATGGATAGAGAAGACAGTTTTTGGATCTACCTCTGATTTGTTCTTAGTGTTCACTTTCTTTTCTGAATAAATATTTGAAGTTAACTATAATAGAGAAATGCAGTGGCTTTTTGCTTTGTCTTATTGAGATTAATTATACTTCAGCATGATTTTTTGAAATGTAAATGTGTTACTTGAAAAAATATTTATAGATTTATGACAGTGATTTTTTAACTTTTTTCACCCGGTTGCTCTAAGGAAGGATTTTATATCTTCCATTAACTTTTATGAGTTAATGTAACCATTCTTCTAATATGGATGAATTATGTTATTTGATATTAAAACATAGAAAAAATTTACACCAATCTCGCAATCTCTTTTTTGGTCACCAACAAGGTACATAATTAGATGTATGTCCTTTTCTTTTTTTCCTACTTCTTTATGCCTTCTATAGAGACTTAATAAGCTGGACAAAAATGGAGAATGGAAATGACTGTGGGTACCTTAGAGTAGCGGGTCTCACAGTTTTTAGTTTTAGGATCACTTTAGATTCTTAAAAGTTATTGAGAACCCTACGAACTTTAAAAAAAAAAAAATTATTTGTTTATTTACTTTGGCTGCACCAGGTCTTAGTTGTGGCATGCGGGATCTTTAGTTGCGGCATGCACGCGAGCGAGATGTAGTTTCCTGACCAGGGATCCAACCTGGGCCCCCTGCATTGGGATTGGGGAGTCTTATCCACTGGACCACCAGGGAAGTCCTGAGGACCCTACAAACTTTTATCTACATGGGCTATATCTAGAAATATTGCCTTACTAGTAATTAAGCCAGAAAAATTTGAAATATTTATTAATCCACTTAAAAATAACAATAATAAATCCATTACTTGGTAACATAACATATTTGATATGAAAAATAGCTATATTTTCCAAAACAAAAGGAACTTAGTGAGAAAAGTGGCATTATTTTTCAGTTTTGCAAATCTCTACTATCTGGCTTAATAGAAGACAGTTGGATTCTTATATCTGCTTCTGTATTCAGTCTATTGTGATGAGTTTTTTGAATGAAGTATATGAAGAAAATCTGGATTCACACAGATATGGTGTTGGAAAAAGTAGTATTTTAATAGCCTTTTCAGATAATTACTTCTTTAATACTACTCCAGAACTTGACAAGTAGTTTCTTAAAGGTTGGTTGCAATGTGTTATTTGAAACTATATCAATGACCTTTTCATGCTTACATTAAAATCTATTGGTCTGGGCTTCCCTGGTGGCGCAGTGGTTGAGAGTCCGCCTGCTGATGCAGGGGACACGGGTTCGTGCCCGGTCCCGGAAGATCCCACATGCCGCGGAGCGGCTGGGCCTGTGAGCCATGGCCGCTGAGCCTGCGCGTCTGGAGCCTGTGCTCCGCAATGGGAGAGGCCACAACAGTAAGAGGCCCGCATACCCAGCTCACACAGTGTCCTCATTTTAAACATGTGTAAAGTGAGGGGAAGGGGGGGAGGGTTAAATTAGGAGTTTGGGATTAACATGTACAAACTACTATATATAAAGCAGAGAACCAACAAGGACCTACTGTGCAGCACAGGGAAATCTACTCAGTATTTTATAATAACCTATAAGGGAAAAGAATCTGAAAAGAATAGATATGAATATGAAGGTGAATATATATATTAATATAAATATAGATAAATGAGTCACTTTGCTGTACACCTGAAACTAACACAACATTGTAAATCAATTAGAATTCAATTTTAAAAAAACATTCCCCCCCCCCCCAAAAAAAAGAAAAAAAATCAATTGGTCTTTCTGGCACTGTGAATGGATTTTTTACTCATATGATTCTGTGACATCATGCTTTGGTCTGTTGGAAAATACTGGTTCACTGAGTTATGCATATCTTCCAGATATTGACACCCTTCATTATATAATATTTAAAAAATTCCCATATGTTAATATCACCGTTGATCTCATCAGAGGAATCTTTAAATGCTGAGAAGCTGTCAATCTCATGGTGACAAATACATGTTATCCAACATTTTGATTTTTGCTTGAGAGCTCAAATTTTATCATTGGCAACAAATTGACACTTTCCTTGAAGTGAAAGACTCCTTTAATTCATTTTTGAGAAAATGTCTGTCAAATACCCAAGTCTGAGTAATCATAGTCAGTTCTTTAAAATAAATAGTGTTTCAGGATAAAAGCAGCTAGTTCAACTTGTAATTCAGCTGCACAAATACTTTTCTCAAGGTAACCATCGTTCTTCAGTATGCAGCAGCAGTTATGTGTATTTCCTAATTCATCACACAGAATATTAAGATGTGTTCTCAAGGGTTGAAATTTAATAAAATTAATGACTTTTACTGCTTTATCAAGGACATTCCTAAGTGAAACTGCCTTTTTTTTTTTTTTTAATAAACTGTGTGTTGCAGTGAAGAATTCAATGACTGCTAGT